CAGCATTGTGTGCATTTCTACTTAGTCTACATTACTCTAAAATCCCCAAATAAAATTCTTTTAAACCTACTACTTTAGGAAGTCGCTTTATTAGTAAACATTTTTACTTAGAGAAGCAGCCAAGATGCCCTTGTTTGCTCTGGAGGAGCAAAAAAGAGCCACAGCTCAGGTGGCAAAATCTCTCAACAGTACAACAATTAGCCATGCTCATGAAAGACAAAACAAAACCACTGGGAAAAGAAAGCAAAAACCTTTGCATTTCACACCAAGAAGGCAGATCCACACATGTAAAAGAGAGAATTACATTTTTGGAAGAGTTTTGTGAAAGAAAATTGTGGTTTAATTAACTTGTTGCAGAGTCTGGACAGTAATATGCAGGGTAAGTTGCATATTTTCATGATAAAATATAGCTGTGATATTTTTAAAGAAGTTGGTATTAATCAATTTTAGCCGTACAATAAAACCATAATTTAACAAAGCTGATATATTCAGGTTTGTGGATTTTGAACTTCTGGTCATTCTTTATTCACTTGACTGTGTTTGTTGCTGCTTTTGTTTGACCACCAAGTACCTAATCTCTTGTTTGGTACCTTCAGATAACGGCCATGTATACAATAGCCGAGTGTGACTGGACACAGTGGAACTGAATGCATCATTACTCATCAGAGGTAGAAGCAGAAAGGCCAGTTTGATGGATGGTAACCAACATTACTTGCTCTCAGGCCTTTGTGGCGGTTATATCCATAGTTTTATGCAAACAGAAGGCTTTCGGTTCAGAATACTGAAATAATTATGAGATTCCCTGTTGATTTTGTGAGTTTGCTCACTTGCAAAGCCTCTGATTTTTATTGTGGCTTCAATTAAGTGAGGTGAGACAGGCTATCCGTAACTTGTGATGTGTAAAAAGTTCGCCAGTGTTTTCCATTCCAAGCTCTACACTACCAGGGGCAACACCAAAGAGCTGTTAAAGGACGTCTGGTACAAGATAATTGATCTGCACAAAGCTGGAATGGATCAGGGGACCATCAGCAAGAACCTGGAAGAGATGCTAAACATGAAATGGCTACCAATAGCTCTCAGTCCGGAGCTCTATTCACTGTCTCGCTACATGGGGTGAGAAAGATCATGAGAAAGGTGAGGGATAAACACAAGAGAAGCTTGTTAATGATCTCAACCAGCTGGGGTCACATTCACTACAAACACCTTTGGTAGCATAATAATGGAGATCTTGCAGCCTGTTACAATAGAAGGCTAACGTACAGGTCATGTACAAGTCTGCTAATGAAAATGTTAATTATCCTTTAGATGCATTAGAGGATAAAAAAAAAAAATAATAATCCAGTGAGGTCGTTTTCTTGCCACATCTTTTTTTTTTTTTTTTTAGTTATTTCACATTCCAGCTATTTCTCAGAGGGTTATTGAAATTATGCCATTTAAATGATTAATTCTAACTACATTTTACAAAACTTATTGCAGCCCAAGTGCAGAGGTAACAGACATGAGCTTGATGTATTTAACCCTTGTGTTTACAAATGGGGTCCAACCGACCCCACACCCGTAAAACTTGTATCATTGGCCTCAGTCCTCGGACGCACACGGGTTAAAAAAAAAATAAATAAAAATTAGCAACACATCACATGCATCTAATACATGTATGTATTGTCTTCAGTTTTTTACCTCATATTTGTATCTATATGCAGTGGTTTCCAAACATTTTCTGCCCCCTGCCCCCCTACTTACAAATCAGGAGAGTTAGACACTTGCTTTCTAGTTGAACAATGTGTGTGAGCGGGGTGGTGTAGGGAGACTTCCTGTTATACGATGTGTGTCAAACGCAAACACCCCACCCCCTTTCCCCCCCAGCGCGCACAGCGTTCATCTTTGGGGTTTTTTCCCCATTCATCCATACTGCTGTGTATATGTATTGTGTGACAGAATTAGGGAGAAGTTAGGTCTGGCTAACTTTTTTTTTTTTTTTTAACTATTTATCCAGACAACTACAGCAATTCAAAAATAATGTAAATCTATAGGACTGGCTAACTAAGGTAGCTAATCGTATTTAATTCAATTCAGTTTATTTATATACCATCAAGTTACGTCATCTCAAGGCACTTTGCAAAACAACAGTCTTTTTATCCGATCATATATCCAATCCAGTAGATACTTATCAAGCAGTGCATCAAGTTCAGTTTAATATCCAAATCAATTTAAAATGTTTTCTATCTACTGAAACTACAAGATCGTATTGAGACATCGACTTGCAGCATTCACTCCTCCTGGATGAGCACATAGCAAAAGTAAACTTGTATTGCTTTTATTGTGTTGGCTTGGCAGCAGTCCCTCATACTGAGCTTCCATATAGCGACAATGGAGAAGAAAAGCTAACCTTCTCGAATGTGTTTGTGTGCATTCATTTGTATGACTCATCACTATAGTGTGACTGCGTTTACCATTCAAAATTCATTTTGTCTATTTTATAGTTTTTCTAAGCCAGCTAACATTACCCTATTTATATTCTGTGTCATTCATGACTATTGTGAGAACGAGTAGGTCTCCATTATCATCCATCACCATCTTAGACTGTTTAATGACTTTACAAGTTTGCTAAAGCAGATAGCTGTCATTACTATATGTATATACCAAAATACTATAAATGATAATGATTACACTTAAGAGAAGTAGCACAAAAAATGCATCGATTTTAATGAGCATCATTGTATAGGGTTCTGTCATTCAAAAAAAAAAAGTTATTAGAAGGGACAAAACCAAAATCTTTATCATCACCTCAATAAGCTATGTTTAAATAAGAGAAATGCAGCATTTGACCTAATAATACACAACTAGCATAAGATACATACACCGTCTGCAATGCAACAAAAACAACTTCCAAATAAACTGGATGTAAATCAGATAAGGGTGCATGTCTGACCTACTGCACCCAATACCAACATCAAGATGCACTGTGACTGGCCAGACTGTCCCAACAGTTATTTCACACCTGGTCAGTACACAAAATAAAAACACACACAATGACATCAGACTGTGGCATCTTGACTGTATTAGGACAAACACTGAAGGACACATCGCTGAGCTTTCTCAAAGAGAGGGAAAGTTTATGCAAACACGTCTGACTTAGAGTACGTCTGGCTGGGGCGATGTGTCCCTGAAGTGTCTGCTGTAGAGCTACCAGTTGGGCTGAGACACCCCAGCAGCCTGTTCAGCATGGTAATGTATGGAGATGCAGCCACAGACCCTTTTTCCCTCTTTCCCACAGCTCCATCTTTAAGCCTCCAACATTAATTGGCATGGCAGGGGCAGCAGTACCTAGGTTGTAATCACTGTCCCTCTGAGAGCCCTACTGAGCAGGATTGAAAGGGGGGGGCTGTGAAGTTAGATTGAAAGAGAGTCCTTGGTCTCCAAGGGCTTGTCTTCTGAAATATGGTATGCTTTGAGATTTGATGAACATAAAGATAGGGTGGAAAGGCGAGGCGGAAGGATATGGAACAATCAGAAAAATGGAAAGAAAAAAAGTAGTTGGGAAATTGTCAAAATTGTGTTGAGCACTTCCTGGAAAAAAAACATAGATGACAAATAATGAAACAGGAGGAGAACGTAGGCAGAAAAGGAAAGCTCATGCAGAGGATTACCGACAGAGATTGAATTGTTTAGAAAAGCTGTGGAGAGATGGAAGAGGTTTGGATTTTGATTGCATTGAAGCCTGGAGGCAGAAGGGAATTCCAGGTCAGCACAAGATACTAAAAGTTTTCTGACTTTCAAAATGAATCTACATTAATTGTGTCCAGTGTGAAATGTCATTTGGAATTAATTACCTACCAAAAATACCCCCCACATTGCTTATATTCTATCCTATTTTATACTGACAAGGCAATTGATTCCCTTCCCATTGCCAGTATATTCTGGCAATGGGTAGTTTTCTAAAGCTAGTGTTCTGATTTATTATTTATTAATTTATTAAATTGCAAACAATTAAAAGATTAAAAGAGAACTGTTTGACTGACCGGTGGTCAGTCACATTTATAAGACATTTATTTAATGTTCTGCCAAGAAGATAAAACATATTTCAAAGATTAAAATCAAACAATCTCTTCAGAGTTCCAATGATATTTTCTTAGTTTGTGAGCCTGTTTCTGTGTTACAGGATATACCTCTCAGCATACTCAGATTTGGAAAGCAGGAGGATATGTTATGGTGAACCATGTCATGATGCTGGGTTTATGTCTGTGTAATTACTGTAGATTGTTCACTTTTTACCACATTCCCTGTTTATTCTAAGCCATTTCTTCCATTGTATCTTTTTTTTGTGTGTGTGGAGTTTAATGACAGCTTACATCCATAAAAAATGTCTTACTGCCACATAAACGTACTAGATCCTTTGACTTCTTAAATCTCCTTTAGTAGACCCCAATCCAATAAACACATCAAGAAAACAATGCTTGATACTTAGGTTGCAATTTGGTCCAAAAGATGTTTCCTTTCAGCTGAGTATTTACAAAAGTCCAAGATACCCTGGTTCACATTTTCTGTGCTCAGTCACAACTTCCATTGTCATATTTCCCAATAATAAATACAGTGCTGTTCAGACATGTATGACCTTCTTTATCTTAACATGGAATCCTCCCTCCTGTTTCCTCCACCATACCCGATTCTGAAAGTTGTGCCCTGCAATGCAAAAAGAGATTTTCCCCTCATCTCCTGTTCCCACTGCTGCTGCAAAAGCTGGTTAATATGTCTACAAACAATACTTTTACATTCGTGTTTAGATAACTGAATATTTAAGCCTATATTGTCTCTATTAAGAGCATTTTTAGCAATCTGGTCAGTGTTTTTAGTTCCCTGCGCCCCTGTATCCACATATAGGTGGATATAACATAGGAATATTTCTTCCTTCCGTAACAAGCGGAGAATGAACAAAGTTCTAAGTAATAAATCCTGCCTTGCTTTTGATGTTTCTGAACTGATGCATGACGAAGTACACAGCATCACCACAAGTAACATTTTTAATAGATCACAATTAATCTATTCTACGGCCAGATAAGTGGCATGCAGTTCAACTGAAAACACATTTAAAAAGTCTGATGCGTTCTTACCAGTTTCAGTTTTATACTTCAGGATAACAAGAAAAATCAGGGTCTTTATATCATCACCTAAATGTCTTGTAGAGTTTGGTTTACCTGGTTTGCACATACAGAGCATTTTGCCCATTTATCTTCCCAAAATAAGTTCAATCAGACTCAATGAGGAATGGATCTATGGATATACATGTTCAAGATTTAAACTCATCTGTCAAGGTTCTCTTCTTGCATTTAGCTCTCCCACACTTCCCAGATCTCTGAATAACTTCACAGACCTTGTTGAAAACAGCATGATGATGCCACCACTGCAGAAACAGTGAAGCCACAAATATTAGTGATTGTCAAATGTAGAACATAAATAAGTAAAAGACGTGCGACACGTTGCAAGATACTGTGCAGTAATGCAACGTACAATGTATTCTGAATGGTTAATGGTAATGGCATAGAAAAAACAAAATACCCACAGACTAAGCTGGAGAAACATTTCTGGGATTTGTGGTTCCAGATGCTTCTTTTCTACAAGCTCCTAAGTAAAATGGCAATTTTTGAAAATTGTTGAGATTATGTTTTTCTCTTATTTATGATTCCTTGAAATTGAAGATAAAAGCGTGTTAGCCTTCAACTAGTTCCTGTTAATCATTTTGTATACTCTCAAAATAGGCAGGAGCAAACATCTCCTTCTGATTTTAAGTCAGATTCCTTATTATTAATATGATTTATTGCCACTTTTGATGAAAAGTATGTTTATTAGAACATCTTATGCGTTTACATTTTGCTTTAAGGCACAGTTGTTTTCAACCCTGATTTCTTTTTTGCTGCAACACGATGTGCTTGTTAAGTGCTTTCATGCTGGAAAAAATTCTTTTGAAGCTGAAACTGAGTTGACAAAGGGGACTTGCAGAGTAATGAAAAAGCAATCTGATACGAGAAGAAAAGAGGAAAAATATGACCAAAAAGATTTCTCTCGGGGTGAAAATGTCAGCGCTGTTAGCCAAGGTTTTTAATTCAACTACGGGTTTAGTAGCTTGAAAGTGTACGTAGGTGTTGGTAAGTATATACACTTCAAATTGGTTAGCTGTAGGTGGAAAATGATGGACTACTAATAATGAAACAAGACATGTTTAGAGTCACCTTTTAAGCAGCAAATGGAGCTGGAGCGCATCAGAGAGCTCGGCCTTGAAGCCGGATCAAAGTCGCAAACCAAGCTGCAATAGATGATAGAATTTAATCATGTCTGCTGCCCAACACCGTCTCACATTCCCTTTCTATGTTCTATTGCAGTAAAAAAAAAAATATATATATAAATAATGACTATTTTCCACCCTGTGCAATTTCCATAAAATTTACTAAATTTGCAATGTTCATTTCACAATTTTACTTGTTTTTAATGTGCTATGACACAAAAACAACAATCAAATTCAATAAAGTTTTATTTGTACAGCACATTTCAGCAGCAAGGCATTTCAAAGTGCTTTACGTCATTAAACACAAAAACAGAGTCATGCAACATTGAATAAACAATCAAAGACTTTAAATTTCCCGCCGAGTCGAAGTTCTGCCCTTCAAATCGGCAGAATTAATACAACATACTGTATTAGTTCATTTGGACAAGCTGCTGTTTAAAACAAACTGGTGATGTAGCAAAACATCACTGATTTAATTTGCATGAGATCATTTTGAAAATCTCATTAGTAGGGATCTGATTAGTGATTAAAGCCTAACTTCTTTCAATGCGCGTAATTAAGGAATCAAACACCTGAATAGGCTGCGTTAAAGAAAAAAAACATTTGTTCAAACTGTTTTGATTAGCGGCATATATACTCAAAATTAAGAGCTTCATCTAAAATGTCAGGGGGAAAAAAAGCAATAGAGTGGACATTTACAGCTAGTTAATGTAATGTTGATACAGTGAACTGAGCAGACCCTTGGATAAACAAAGTTGAGATGTATCTAAAAGGACTCTTATTGTTATAAATATGGTGCATGGAAGTGCAGCTACTGCCATTCTTTGAATTTCCTATTTACCTCCTGGCCATGAAGAGTTCTTTGCTGCAGCAATGCGTTAGTTTTTCTACTTGTGTACCCTTGAAGGCTGCATCTCTCTCTACAAGCCATCCCTCAATAATTAAAAGACACATAATGATTGTTTGATTGAGCATTGGTTCAGCTATTAATCATCTACACATTTACTTGATCTAGAGCGAGTTTATACCTGATAGAAGAAAAAAGAAAATGAGTCCTTTAATATCATAAACTCCCCCCCAAAAAACTATTCATCTGCATCCACACAGAAACACCTTAGCTAACTAGTTCTGAGGTACATTTTGTCAAGCATCAAGTCCTGTTGTATTCAGGGATTTTTTTATTTATTTATTTTTTTTTATCTCCGTTTTAAGTTGTGTGCATACTACATTGAGATGAAGGGGATAATGTTCACAGCATTCCATTGCTTTGAGAAATGGTGTGTTGTAGTTGCAGTGACAGCGACATCATACTCTATTCTTGTATGTCTTGTCCCAAATGGTCACACAATTACAAGTGAAATTAGTTCAGTATGATTTCACCATGAAATAGTTGAAGCCGTTTGAGTATTTTTCATGCAGAGGTTGGTAGATCTTCATCAGTGCAGACAGAGAGTTAGCAGAACGTTGCATGATGTAGAACATAAATTGATAATATATACTGGATAAATTCACCATTTATGGCATCTAAAGTTGTGACCTACAGGCAGATTTCCTTCTCCCTATCCAACAAAGTCTGTGACAGCCAACGTCTTGGTGCATAAGAAGAAAATAATGGAGTTTTGTTTACTTAAAGCTGAGCACCTTCCTACATTTGTACGTCACATTATTTCCTTGCTAAAACACTAAAATTAAGCATATTGTGAAATCGAGCAAATTATCGATGGCCTGTTATAAAAAGCCGCAACACTCTCTCTTAAAGGTTTGTAAATCATCAAAGTAAAATAACTCTTTAGCAATCTAGTTTTGAAATGAACATTTTCAGAGGTTTTTATTTTTTTTTTACCTCAGTGTAGCAATGGGACTCTTCAGCCAAACATAGATGCCATGGGTGCAGGAGACACTTGTGACATCAAGCTTCAATGGGTCTAAAACACTGTTGTGTTTGGGAGTTGCAGAACTCTAACAGGGCCATAGAAGTGGATAAACTCATTTCACATATTTTAAGAAAGGATTTCTGATCCCATGAATTTATTTGCCTGTTGTTGCTAGGAAAGTACATCTTCTGAAGTCAACACAAATATGACACTGATGAATCACTGGTTTCTGAAGGTAGATATGCATCAGCGATAACCACTCCAAGTGCTGCAATTCAACCTCTAATATGTGCTTATGTCTGGCTCACATATCATTTTAGCCACTCCCAACCCCTCTAATGGATTCCATACCCCTGTTGTCTGTGTCACTCTGTCTCTTTTATCCATTTTTCATTTAACCACAGTAAAGTGAATCACTGCTTTTTCTGCCCGTCTCAGATTTTTTTTGTTGTTGTTGTCTCGCCGATCTTTTTTCATTTTCCTTTCTGTCACCCATTATGGCAGTGTCTAATCTCCAGCTGGCTATTTGTCTCACTATCTCTCTCTCTCACTTGGAGCTTCAGTTTCTACCTCCCCAGCTTGATTCAGCAGTTGTGAGGGCTTCTTGAGGTGGGGCTGGCCTGAGGTGACTTTGAGAAGCAGAGAGGTTAATGAGGATCAAAACATCTTCTCTTTTTTGCCTGGGGGCATTAAAGAGACGGAAAATAAATTAAGAAACCCAGACACACACACACACACACCGATACGTCTAACATTTGCAGCAGTAAATCAAGTTAAAGTACAAATGTAATGCTTAACAGTTTGACCACCAACTGATGTCAAAATATGAATGACAAGCAGGTGTATTAATAAGGGCAGTGTAAACTTGTTATAGAAATAACTGCTTCTCATGCAAATACATCGTGATAGGATATGCATGAGTATATTTGATTTTTATATATATATATATATATATATATATATATATATACACACACTCGTGTGTGTGTGTGTGTGTAATTTTTACTAATTACACGTAATCAGTAAAAAAAAAAAAAAAAAAAAAAAAAAAACAAAAAGAAGCAGGATGACAGCAGCTTTGAGAAGATTGTAAAGTAAAGCCCACTATATAGTGACCCGACATGTATGTGTGCTGGACATTGGCTGCAACATTTTTATTTGATCTTTTATGTGTAGGTATGTGTCAATTTGCATTTACAGGAATGTGTGGGGTAGGTGCACATGTATGTATGAGCAAATCTGGACGTGTAAATTTATGTAAAAATCTGTATTTTGATATGCATAGGCACTTGTATTTTATTATTACTTTTTTTTTTACTTTGGTTAGGCTTTTCATTGTAATCCTGAAGCAGAGAAATCAGAAGTGTCTCACCTGGGCTGAGAAGAAGATGAAAGGGAGTGAATCCAGATGGGGGACACTGGCCAATAGTTTGACTCTTCAAGCACTAAGGCTTGTAGTAGCTTAGTCAAATTTAAATCTTGAATTTTAGCAGGCTATTCATGCTTGTAAATCCTCCAGTGTGGCTGAATTCAAGCAGTTCTACAAAGAAGAATCAGATAATTTCTCCCCCATAAACTATGCTAAGAAATACTATGTTGGAGATATCTGTGCTAACGGTGGCATAAGCATTCATTAGGATTTGAGTAGGTTTGTTTTCTTTTGATGTCCTTACTAAATAAAACTGGCATTTAAAGACTGCGTCTTTGATTAACTTTTGTCATCACCGTCTAATATGAAAGTTTGTTAGAACTTAGGTGATAAAAACACAGATGAAATGTTTTTGATTTTACCTTTGTGCATTGTTCTGTGCGTAGTGAATCTTACATACAGGATTTTTGAATGAGATTACTAAAAAAAAAGCTTGCACTAGAAAATGTTTGAACAGTAAAATTTTAAAAATTGTATGGTATTATTAAGAGTCAAAATAATGAGACTAAATCTTTGATTTAGCTTCATCTCTGGAAAGCATTGCCAAGGTTGCTGTGGCTCAGAAAAAAAATAAAATAAATCAAACGCACACATGGTTTCAAACACAAAACTCAGTCCACATAGTTCAGCAGCTATATCAGGAGGAGCCAGTTGAATGATGCCACTATTGAGACTCTCATTCATCTGAAAGAGCACTTAGGACTGATGATGCTAGCAGGGGGAAAAATGAATAGATGCAAAAAAAAGAAAAGAAATAAATGATAGAAACAGCTGATAAATAATGATGCTTTAAAGCTCCAATCCAAATTAGACTAGAGCAAAAACTACTAAATTAACTTCAAAGAAGTCCTCTACGCATTGATTAAACATCTGAAAATTAATCTCTCTTCATTAAAATTACATATTAAGAGAATACTTAATAATATCTTTACATCTCAGAATTCAACTCCAGTGTGACAGATAAAGGCCTCTTTTCCTTCCTGGTGTAGGAGTTTGTTTTCTAAGGTTTACCTTCATTTTCCATTTAATTTAGTCATTATATTCCTGCTTGTGCATACAACTTAGTTCTGCTCCCTGACTGCAATGAGAATAGAATAAACCAAACACACACAGTAAGAAGGGACCTACACAATTTCTTTGCAAAGCACTTTAGACACACACATATGCATGTCAAATAGGGCAGAGAGAAAGCAACGGAACAGCATAGAGAAAAAGTCTCTGGCACTGTGTTGATAGCTTGTTTCTCTCCGAGTTCTGATCCGAGACAGATAGAAAAGGTTACAAAAACATGGCAACAAGGTTGAAAACTTGATTTTCACAATGCAGGACTCAAAAACATAACATGCTTTGGTATGTCCTGACAGTGGTTTGCAGCTCCACACCTTCCTCTTGAATTTGACAAGCCCTCACTTTCTCTTCTGACCTGCAGTCACCTATTAGCGACATCCATTTCTCTGTCATCTCTTCCTTCACCTTGCACACACACTCATCACCATTTGCCTCATCTTCTTCACAAATCAATCTTTCTCATTTGGTCCAGAATTGATTTTGGCATTTCTAAATGTTTATGTAACTCTGCAATCCTCTCTTGCCAATTCATTTCATTTTGCTCAACTCAGTCTTTGCCGATTAACACCACCATGTTTTGTTCTCTGCCTTTCTTGCTATGTGTTGCCCCCTGTGACTCATTACAAATTAAGCCTATTGAGTCATTTTTTTGT